AAGACACAAATCAACCAAAACCCTAATGTCACCTAGATACTCCAATGTCACCTCAAGTATCCGTGGGGTATGATTATACGATATGCATCACACAATCTCCGATTCATCTATTCAACCAACACATAGAACCTCAAAGAGTGCCCCAAAGTTCCTACCGGAGAATCACGACGAAAACGTGTGCCAACCCCTATGCATAGGTTCATGGGCGGAACCCGCAAGTTAATCACCAAAACATACATCAAGTAAATCACGTGATATCCCATTGTCACCACAGATACGCACGACAATACATACATCAAGTGTTATCAAATCTTTAAAGACTCAATCCGATAAGATAACTTCAAAGGGAAAACTCAATCCATTACAAGAGAGTAGAGGGGGGAAGAAAACATCATAAGATCCAACTATAATAGCAAAGCTCGCGATACATCAAGATCGTATCACCTCAAGAACATGAGAGAGAGGGATCAAACACATAGCTACTGGTACATACCCTCAGCCCCGAGGGAGAACTACTCCCTCCTCGTCATGGAGAGCACCAGGATGATGAAGATGGACACCGAAGAGGGATTGCCCCCTCCGACAGGGTGCCGGAACGGGTCTAGATTGGTTTTCGGTGGCTACGGAGGCTTCTGGCGGCAGAACTCCCGATCTATTGTGCTCCCCGATCGTTTTAGGGTATATGGAGATATATAGGCGGAAGAAGTACGTCAGGGGAGCCACGAGGGGCCCACGAGGGTGGAGGGCGCGCCCCCCTGCCTCGTGGCCTCCTCGTTGCTTCCCTTATGCGGACTTCAAGTCTCCCGGGTTGCTTTCCTTCCAAAAATAAGTTCCGTGAAGTTTCAGGTCAATTGGACTCCGTTTGATTTTCCTTTTCTGCGATACTCTAAAACAAGGGAAAAAACAGAAATTGACACTGGGCTCTAGGTTAATAGGTTAGTCCCAAAAATCATATAAAATAGCATATAAATGCATAAAAACATCCATGGTTGATAATATAATAGCATGGAACAATCAAAAATTATAGATACGTTGGAGACGTATCAACAAGATCTATCTATGTACAAATAGACCCCATCGTTTTATCCTTACTAGAAACGATACATACGTGTCGGTTCCCCTTCTATCACTGGGATCAAGCACCGTAAGATCGAACCCACTACAAAGCACATATTCCCATTGCAAGATACATAGATCAAGTTGGCTAAACAAAACCCAAATATCGGAGAAGAAATACGAGGCTATAAGCAATCATGCATAAAAGAGATCAAAGAAACTCAAATACTTTCATGGATATAAAAAGATAGATCTGATCATAAACTCAAAGTTCATCGATCCCAACAAACACACCGCAAAATAGTTACATCATATGGATCTCCAAAAGACCATTGTATTGAGAATCAAGAGAGAGGGAGAGGAAGTCATCTAGCTACTAACTACGGACCCGAAGGTCTACAAAGAACTACTCACGCATCATCAGAGAGGCACCAATGGATGTGGTGAACCCCATCCGAGATGGTGTCTTGATTGGATCTGGTGGTTCTAGACTCTGCGGCGGCTGGATCAATATTTCGTCGACTCCCCTAGGGTTTTTGGAATATTGGGGTATTTATAGAGCAAAGAGGCGGTCCGGGGGCACCCGAGGTGGGCACAACCCACCAGGGCGCGCCTGGGCCTCATGGTGCGCCATGGTGGGTTGTGCTCTCCTCGGAGCACCCCCAGGCACAGCCAGGGCCCATTATGTTCCTTCTGGTCCAAAAAAAATCTCCGTAAACTTTAGTTGCGTTTGGACTCCGTTTGATATTGATTTCTTGCGATGTAAAAAAACATGCAGAAAACAACAACTGGCACTTGGCACTATGTAAATAGGGTTAGTACCAAAAAATGATATAAAGTGACTATAAAATGATTATAAAACATCCAAGATTGATAATATAACAGCATGGAACAATAAAAAATTATAGATACGTTTGGAGACGTATCAACTGCGTCCGAAGTACCCTTACGATGGAGGCCACCCTTGGCCTCCTTACTCTTCTTCTTGGCCTTCTTCTCCGGCGCTTGATAGGGCGCCGGAACCAACATCTTCGTAAGCTGGGGTGTGGCCGGATCTTCAGGCAGCGGTGTCGGACACTTGATCCGCTCCTCCTTCGCTATCCAGCCCTGTGAGAGGGATGGAAAACTCGTTATGCCTAAGAATTTATGGACCAAGTTTATGTTCGGGAATAACACACTTACCGGAGTGGCCGGATTTTCGCTGTCAAGGCCAATGTCTTCGATCTTCTTTGGCCACGTCTTCTGGGCCTTGAAGAGCAGCTTCCAGATCTCTTTGTGCTTTGTGCCGAAGAAGCGCTGCAGGGTCCGGGGACCTTCCGGATTGAACTCCCACATATGGAGAGGCCAAAGTTGGCAGGGGAGGATCCGGCGGAAGAGCATCACCTGAATCACGTCAGTGAGACTGGTGTTCTTGCTTATCATGTTTTTGATGCGCTTTTGCAGCGCCAACACTTCCGCGGTCGACCCCCAGTCCAGACCCTTGTTGGTCCACGGCGCGAGCCTCATAGGGGGTCCGGATCTAAACTCAGGAGTGGCCGCCCACCTGGCGCCGCGGGGTTCGGTGATGTAGAACCACTCCTGCTGCCACACCTTGACGGTCTCCACGAAGGCCCCTTTAGGCCAAGTGGTGTTGGGGAGCTTGCTCACCATGGCGCCACCACAGTCCGCATGCTGCCCGTCGACCACCTTCGGCTTCACATTGAAGACTTTTAGCCATAGGCCGAAGTGTGGGGGATGCGGAGTAGCGCCTCACGCACGACGAAAAATGCCGAGATGTGGAGGAAATAATTTGGGGCTAGATCATGAAAATCTTTCCCATAATAGAACATGAGGCCGCGGACAAAGGGGTGAAGGGGAAACCCTAGTCTGCGGAGGAAGTGAGGGATGAACACAACCCTTTCGCCGGGCTCCGGGGTGGGGATAACTTGCTCCTTGGCAGGGAGCCTATGTGCGATGTCCGCAGACAGGTACCCCGCCTCCCGGAGCTCCTTAACATCCTTCTCCGTGACGAAGGAGGCCTCCCACTTGCCCTTCGAGCCAGATCCAGACATGGCTGGAGAGGTTGGTGGCGGTGGGAAAGATTGAAGTTTGGGCGCTGGAGCTTGAGGGTGGGAAAGCAGGAGAAGGAAGAAGGCATGGGATAAAAAGGGATCGTTATACACTTATATAGGCAGTGAATATCAAGCGCCCTCAAGCCTTAAAACTCGCCTGTTCCCAAGGGGTCGTGCGAATGGCACGGTTGGATTACCCAAAACCGTATTGATGAGGATCCCGTGATAAGCGGACACGATCTCTGTTTTGACAAGACGTGTCAATAGAGGTCGTGCCTCGAAACGCGAAGAAATGGTTCGAAATGTTAAAGAGGCCAGACGTGGCGTTTCGCCGAAAAGGTTGTCAGTTGACAGACATTATTTTGATTAAATATTTTGCCTTCGTGGTTGAGGGTTGTGACTGTCATGCAGAGCTGGATATAGTTCTTTTATTCAGAAGATTGCTTTGAAGTATTCGAGAGGAGGAACCCGCCTTACAATGTCGAAGACAATTTGCGTGCCGAACATATCGTCATTGAAGACTGGTTTAGGGGCTACTGAGGGAGTCCTGGATTAAGGGGTCCTCGGGTGTCCGGGCTGTGTGATATGGGCCGGACTGATGGACCGTAAAGATACAAGGTAGAAGACCTCTCCCCGTGTCCGGATAAGACTCTCCTATGCGTGGATGGCAAGATTGTCCTCCGGATGTATAATTTCCTTCTTCTGCAAGCCGACTCTGTACAACCCTAGGCCCCTCCGTTGCCTATATAAATCGGAGGGTTTAGTCCGTAGATGCTATCAGAATTGACATAGGCTAGACAGCTAGGGTTTAGCCATTACGATCTCGAGGTAGATCTACTCTTGTAACCCCTATACTCATCATAGACAATGAAGCAGGAAGTAGGGTTTTACCTCCATTAAGAGGGCCCGAACCTGGGTAAACATTATCCTTTGTCTCCTGTTACCTTCGATCCTCAGACGCATAGTTCGGGACCCCCTACCCGAGATCAGCCGGTTTTGACACC